AGCGTTGGTGGCCCCCGGCAAATACCCCACATACAAGTGCGGTCGCCGTCCGGGTGGAATTCTGTGCCAAAAGAGAAATGTAGAGGACAACGCAGCCATCAATCGATGGGTGGTCCCCAGCAATCCGTTCCTGTCGCAGAAGTTCAGCTGTCACATCAACATTGAGGTTTAAGCCACGAATAAGACTATCAAGTACATCTACAAAAACGTCTACGAGGCTTGGGATAAAACGGCAATTGCGATTGAGAACGTAATTCTTTAGTATTAGCTTGGGAGGTATATATCTCCGGTAGAAGCTTGCATGGGACTTTTCCAGCATCCAATACAGGGATTAACACATTCTGTTGTGACGCTACCTAAATATTTAAAAGGAATGCGCATGGTTGCTTATCGCGACCAAGCGATGCCTCCGCAGATCCTCACATCGATGAGGACGGAAACGTGCACACCAACAATATTGTGTACGGAGCGATCTTTGAAACGCGGACTTGGTAGGACACGTAATACAAATAATGTATTTAGCTTTGAATTCGAAATGCTCTTTAGTCTGCCGCAGCGCAGCGGAGGCGGCTAGCCTAAACTACACCAACCAACCATGCCACATCGCCCGATGAGCGGTTTCCAAGAAGCTAACCAGAACCACGGCTGCGATAATTACTTAAAACCCCTAAGCATCAGGAACTGGGTTCTGAGAATTTTAGGGTTCGAAATTCAAATGCGAAAGGACAGAAGCGCAAATTTTCAGCAAGAACCATTGACAGGTTCTCTTTTGCGAGCAACTTTTGTACAGTTGCTATTTAAAACGGTTAGCCCAAGGGTTGAAGTTTACTTTTTGGGCTCAGTAAAAACTGCGACAAGACTCGTGAACCTAATATATCGGTGAAACTGGCTCAAAACGATTTCAAGAACTAAATTAAGGCGGTTATTGGTTCCTAACCGGTAAGTTCATTCAAGGCGTGCAATTTCCTCCCATCTTACCGACCGCACCTGTTTATTTTTCTGACTCGACCTAATTATGCCAAAATTTACAATAACACCCAAGCGTCACACAATTAAGTCGCACCCGGATTGGTCGATATTTTCCGACCTGCGACACTGACTTGGATCTGTTGCACGATCAGACGCTCGCGATTGGACGTGAGGTAAACATTTCTGCCGCGCATGAACCACACCGATTGGATGTTAGCACCAAGGCGAGCTGTGCTGACGATTGCGTATTTACATTTAGCTACGCAGAACCTGTCGTATGTATTTCAATTCGGGCACAGCAACCACCTCATTGTGTACGAGGTGACGAGAAGCTCACGGCGGGTGGGATTTCTAGAGCCAATTCTACCTACACGACGGAGCACAATGCGCTTGCCCAGACACTCAGGAATTGAAGCCCCACTCTCAAAATCTTCATGCCAGATTTGATAACAAGTCTTGGGCAAACCAGCGTAAGTACGACGTGCCTTTGGGCAAAGGAAGCACTTTGCGTCGGGCTGAGAGCAGTCCTCGCAATAATAAGTAGTCTGGACCGACTTCTTGCGTTCGCCTTTGAGAAGCGCACAGACCTTGCATGCTCTTTGGCGGCGCTTTTGAATACCCGACACCGTCACCCAGTCATCAAACTGGAGGTGAGCGTGACCTTCTTGCCGACGGCGCTTTCGTGAGCGCGATGCAGGGGAGGGCGTTTGGGCTACGGGCTCGGCGAAGTCTTCGGGGTTCAGTTGAAGTAGTTGTTTGTGAAGTGTAAGGTACCAGTCTCCGCGAGCCTTTGGAACGTGCCGTTTGATCATGCACGTTTGCTTGTAGATTGTGTAGGCGTTTACTAACGCCAAGTCCAAAAAGCCCATAAACAGCGACTTATAGTATTTCGCGAACCGAAACGCTGTCTGGATCGAGTATGACTGGAGGCGGAGCTGATCGTGCCCATCAACTCCGCCCATCCAGCGCTGGTAATCGCTACAAGCTTTGGTTATTTGATTGTAGACGATCCCACTCCTTTGATATTACGATAAATAGTATCTTCAGTCATACCAGGCCCGTGGCTAGGTAGTGTACGGGCTTGCGGTCCCACCATTGGCAAGCAAGCATGGTGGGAACCGCAATAGCACGCGAGAAAGAGAATGTTTCACGCTCAATCCGACGAGGACGAGTCTTGCGACGTCCGACAATGCGCTTATCATACCTCACACGGTCAACCTGGATCGTCCCCAATACGTAGATGCTAATTGTGAGAAGCTGGATAGCCAGCGCTACCGATGTATAAAATCGATCGATGACGACAATGCGGAACCCCTGTGGACGATCGCCAAGGACAATCTTCATATTACGGACCACCGCTGCAGCTTCGGTCTTGTTGTCAAATGCTTCTTGATCCGTATCACCAGCTTCTCGCTGCCCACATACACCTCAATTCTAAAGTAGGAAGTTACAACGTTACGTACACAAAACAATTAGCATGGCGTAAGTTACGACTTTGAATACGTAGTACAGCTCACTGGTGACAATAGGCGGTGATAGAGTCGCAGACCATAAACAGCTGCGTCCCGTATCGACGGGGTTTGTCCGGCATGAACATTCGAGTAGTATTACGCTTTGAAGTTGCTGGAAGTGCACCTTCGTCAAAGGAGAACTTACTTGGAAGCGACCAACCGGAAAGAAAGCGCACCTGTAGAACGTCAACAACAGGCCGTAGCTTCCACAACTTGTCTCGTGCCCGTGGCGCCTCGTTGTTGACAAAGTGCAGGTCTCTCAGTATTGAAGTGCATCGATTGCGCGCCATAAACCTTCCGAAGTTTCCAGCAGGAAGCGCCCCATCCCCCATCATTCTTCAGTGCCGTGAGAGCCGACGCGTCATCGGGTTCAACGTCCTCGCGACCAGTAGCCCGATAACGTGTAAAATTTCGTGCGCTTATACTTAGGCTCTGCTCGCAAGCGACGAATAATTTGCTTCAGGCTCTCTGGTGTTGGTGCACCACGTTTCCGCTGGTTGGCCTTTATTCGTTTAGCTCTTGTATGCACAGTCTAGTTCTTGTAGCGATTGGTCTCGTTCGCTACACGAATCCACAGAGATTTTGGCACAAAATAGAAAAAGAGACGCATCGGAGAGTCTGCCAGGTCTTGTAGCTCATGGACTGGTGACGCCATATCGCACGACAACCCAGGGTCCTCTGATCTGCCACTCTCGAACTCAGCTGACGGTGCACTCCACTCCATCTCACGAAGGGCCTCCATGTTTATAGCGTCCAGGGCCAAGTGGCCACCCAAGGTCTGGATAAAGGCAGCGTCCATACCAACTGCTACTTCCTCATATTCATCAGCACTGCTCGGATACTCCCTCCGCGTGATAGCTTCTTCGCCGCTGCTGTCACTCTCGTCACTCCCATCTGATCCAACAGACTCATATCCTTCAGACAGTTCATCAGCCGCTAACATGTTTACGTCACTTGCGGCGACGACGACTCGGTCATCGTCCTCAGCGCTCTCGCGATCCTCCACACTCAGTCCACCTTCTCTGTCTATCCTCGGGATGTCGTCAGCGGTATCGTTACTGTCGTCCCTCTGCGACCCTGCTAGCATCTGCTATATCATTGAACGGGGAGGATGTCTCCTCGATGTCGTATTCACTGCTCGAGCCGAACATGTCCTCGGTCGTGTTCGCTGATAGCATGATGGACGTGTTGATTTGGGATGCCGTCACCGTCTCGTTAGCTGCAATCTCTCCGTCGACTACACTACCTCCGTCGGCCTCCGTACCGCTGTCATCACTGCTATCCACAGAGAGCCTGGACTCAATCACGAATGTTACTACATCACATTCACCTGCGTAGACATTAGTAGTGATACTGCCGATGAAAATAAAGGATTCTAGACGTACCAACGAATGACTGTCCGCTGGGCGAGGAGTACATCCACTTGTTTGAAAGCCCTGAAGGGCGCTTAGACGTCCAGCCCGCTGCCCGGAGCTGCCGCCAAAGGTGCGTGAAGTCAACGGCCCGCACAGCATCGGCGACCGCTGTCTCTCTGGTAGCCGCGCTTGACCGGATTCTTGCCATGCTGGCTAATTCTGGAATGGCCACCAGCCACTGACCTGACCTGAGGACTCATCACATGATAGTGATCTGCAGCACACACACCTTTTCTTTATCCGGTCCAAATTTGACCTCTCCCAGCTTATATTTTTTTCTCGTAGATTTTAACTTGCTTTCATTAAGGTGCCCGTTTTTTTCGAGCCATTTGCTGTTTAAGCCTCATTCTACGTCGTAACTTACGACTTTCGCCCTTTACAAAGTCGTATGTTACGACGTTGGTAACGGAGGGGTTAACACATTGGTACTACACTGTGAACAACATCTACAGTCCTGCACCCCATTTTCGCGCCCTGGGACCTTTTATAAACTTCTGGATGTGATGATCCTGAATCCAAAAGAACTAAAGTTTAAAAGCTAAAATCTGATTTGTTTTGCAAATTCTTTATGGTCACCCCCGCGAGTGCAGTACTGTACTACTTTTCCGATGTTTGTTACTTTTCCGGCTTTCAGCTGCCCATCTTATGTTACAACTGCTGACTTATGTTGCTTGGAGCCTAAGTTAGGTTGCTCGAAATTTAATGTTGCGGCATAACGATGACAAAGGCGCAAAGTTTTGTAGACAGTTCTCCGAACTGCAAATTATCCGATCCGTGCCATGCTGTCGAACTACCCTACTATCCAGTCGCACGATTGCTTTTTGTAGATCTGGTTATATCAAGTCATTTACTACAGTATTGTATCACTGGTACAGTTTACCAGCATATTGTGTTGAGTCTGCATTCTTCGTGGGATATTGCTTAGCCAAGGTGTAATTTATTTTTACTAGCTCATCGACTACCACGTCTCCTACTGCAAGACATCATCATCAATATGTATACAATCCCACCGAAGCTCAGGTAACTGCTGTATTCAATAGTTACGAAGCCAAACCATCAAGTAACAACGATTGTTCGCAATCAGCTTGTGGTCGTCCGACTAGCCCTAGTAGTACCAGCTTCTGTACAGCATACGGAGATTGTTGTACTCGTCCCCAGGAATTCTTTTAGCGAGTTTGACAGGGTTGACGCCGTAAGCGCCCAATCTCTGAAAAAACTTCAACAGTCTTCCATCCACATTAATGGCAGATAGCCCCTGAGCTTTGTTTACATACACCGCTAGCTTGTCGACGTTAAAGAGGTTGGCACCATCCACCCTTTCCTCTTCACCGTCATCGTTGCGATAATCGTTGCTTTCGAAGCGCAAACGCCTCTTCTCGCGCTCAGCACCAAGGTGGACTGAAGCTTCTGGCGATGTATACTTCGCGATTTTGGGCATGGGCTCGGAGGCTTCGGCTGCAGCATTAGCGCTTGCGATGATAGTGGTCACAGTAGCGACTACTAGATAGACGCAGGACAGACGCATTGGTGAACGGGGGTGGCTCTTGATCCGAAATGAAGATAGTGGGGGCACAGAGTGATGGCTTTCGTACGACGCAAATTGCGGAACTACTTCGATGTCTAGTGATATCAATTATACGAAGTGCAGGTGTCACAACGATAGCCAGGTTTCTGTCTCAATTCAGCTGGGATAGTAAGCTACGATCGTGAGAAAGGCAGTGGGGTCGGCACATTGATTTAACGGCATCCCGAATATCTACTCGGTTTATAAATCGATCGCGTGATATACTTATTTTGCTTGTCTGGTCCTCTCTTTTAGACTGCTATGTATTCTGTTGATCAGTAAATTAAACCGGGAAGCGTTCGTCTAAAGCACGTTTCCCCTGAACTGTAATGTTACTGGTGGTAACGCTACAGTTTATAAAACCAATTGATTTTTCTCACAAACAATTTTGTTCAGGAGGGTCTACGTGAAATTTGATAGAATTCTCTGTAGATTTTTGCTTATCTCACGCGGACAGTAATTTATCTTTTATTAGAAGCTGTATTAGGCTGTATTCGTACTATGGTTCTCCGTAGGCAGCAATGCCATTAGTGTATTGTTGAGAATCTGTTTACTGACTGTTAGCATAGAGTCACGGAAGTAGCTAACATGCTGGTGAAGTTAGACTGGTTCATCGCCAATTTCGGAGCAGTATGCCTCTCTCGTGTGTGCTGTCATTTTGATGTGAGCTTAATCTGTTTCGATCTAAACAAATCTCAATTTGATCCAGAAATGGTGCATATCTAAAAAGCCTAAGGCTTGCCCTGCCTTCGGTGGCCTATTACATCGTAATACAGTACATCGTTTGGTTGGATGTTGTTAATGTCAACAGGTTTGTCGTTATGCGTGTTGAATCGCCACCAAATGCTGCACTACCCATGCGCTCGTCATCGGGCTCTGCGTTATATCCTTGGATTTGTTATGCAGTGATCAAGCTGGTCCTTTTTGAGAAGAGACCGGTCAACGTGTTGTTATTAGCATATGAGCTGCACAACAGAATATTGTAATACGCTTCACACAGGTGGCTTTACGTAACGATTTTGTTGCCAGGTGAAGAATTGGTGCCTGTAGTTACATGTACAGTATCTGCTTCCATCTACTACATGCAAGTTCATTCATTCATACATTACAGTGGTATAGAATTGGGATGGCGCCTGTGTAACGCTGAAAACTACGAATGTATTGATGGCCTGAGCTCAAAGGTTACTTACCACGCAGTTTTTACGAACAGAAGCCATTATATACGGAACTCGAAGGCAAACCAGATCTTTATTGGAGACAGCATACAGCACTGTGCAGCCCAATCATGTCGTAAAAAGTGTACTTAAAGATAAGCAGCAGCAAATTGCTTGGACGACCATACACGTACGAGTGAATGTCATAGGAGATTGCTAAACGTTTTATAATACCCGAAGTGGTCTAGCTTCGTCAAGAAGCAAGCGATAGCCAAGCGCTTGGTAGTGGAGCAATTACATACTGAATAAAAAAAATACAATTTGCATGCTTGCCCACTTGAATTTCGTGAAAACCAGTGCACCAATTACGAATTGCGCGAGCTGTTCACTTGACTCACAATAAGTCGCGACAGTAACGTCAACAGGTTTGTCGTTATGCATGTTGGATTGTCAATACGCTCTTCCCTATGGATGCGCTGGTCATCTTGTATTGCGTTTTATCCTTGGACGCTGGTCCATCATGACAAGAAACCGGTAAACGTGTTGCTGCTGATATGGAAGAAGATAGTTAGCCTTCAAAAAACGATATTTAAAAAAATCCAGATAATTATTTATCACTTTATAGAGCGATTTACTTTTGTAATGGCAAAAACCACAGTGAGACAAAATCACTAACAGTTAGCAACCGAATGATGTAGTCCCTGAGAGACTTGTAATTCGCAACGCAACATTTTCTTTGCAGACCAATCAAGTTTTTGTATTTTCTAATTTTTTTCTAGTTTTGTACCCTTTAGACTGTTTTTAGACATGCTTCTACGTAACGTAGTACTTCGTGTTTGGGTGTTTTGAAAAACAACAGATTGTACTGAGACAGCTAAGTTTGACTAATGATAATTTCCATCAATCCTTTTGAAACACTAACAGTACGGGAGCGTATAGATCATCCGGCACTACTAAAACCCGCTTAAGTATACCTGGAGCACATATAAGGCCTGCCGTGTCTAGTTGGGAACTGTAGATCCCTCCTAGACGCACACGCAGAGTTGGAAGAACAGACACACACTGTGTGACGTGGTGGTCACTAGCCAATGGCATGGCAGTGACCAGCCACGTCAATTATTTGAGTTCAGCTGGTCAGATTATTCTGATCCGCGTAAACTAAGATTGCGTGTCTTTACATCATACTACAATCCTATTGGTCCAAAATCCCATGGACTTGCAACAATCAAGCCTCCAGCCGGAAATTGTGATTATGGGACGCGTGCGAAATTTCAGACCAAGATAAGAATTAGGATTCATAGGCTTTCATTGGTAGTTACAGAGAAAATCAGGATTTGAGAAAGATAGGTTTTAGGATGACCTGGATACGTGCGTGAATATCCGGTTGTCAAGAACTACTGGTTGTGCGGCAGCTACTAGCTTGCCGCCGCCAACTCTAACTGATTAATCACTTCTCAATTTGCTTTCGAGCAGCAACTCCTCTCCTCCCCTACAACTGTCTACGGCGCCGTACTCGCCGTCTACGCTCCTACGCTTCCGTGCTACTTTCGTGACATAGTTGCACTTGTCGAGTCAAGCTTCGGTTCAAGTAGGGCACTTGTGGTGGCATAGCCAGAAGCGAGCTGTCCTGAGGTTATTGGTGCCAGCTACATAGTTGGGGAAGCACTAGATCACAAAGGGTATTGCCTCAGCACGTTCAGTGGCTAGTTGGTGTGGTTGCGCACTAGTGTGGTACACACAATCGGAAACGCTTTCTGGTGGCCTGCGGTCTAACGCTTTCACGTTACGTGGATCCTTATCCCGCATCAGATCTTAAAGGAGTGAACGTCCGATTAGATACTCACTGGTTGTGCTTGATCTACATCCGTTGCTACTGCATCTGTTTCAGTGTGCTTGTTTATGGGTAAGCGAAAGACTCGCCAGCCCGAAGATCCGTCTGTAAACAGCACAAAGTCCTTGACTGATCGACACAAGCAGCTCGATCAGCTTCGTCTGGACTTGTGGCTAACAACGGTCAAGCAACTTAAGCTCGTCCTCCTGATCCGAAACGAAATTCCGGATTCTAAGGACGCAGCCGCCCGGAACGTCATTCACGACTTCAGTGAATTGCTCAAGAAACGTATTGAGCAAATTCAAGAAATTCTTGAAGGATCTTTTGATCACTCCATCCACGTAGACAAGAAACGTAGATTGTAGGGAGGAACTTTAATCGGAACCTTTTTTCGCTTCGTTTAACTTCGGTATAGGGTTCTGGTATCTTAAAAGACTTGCGCTGAGAAGTCCAGCTTGTAATGGCTCAAAGAAGGAGTCGTGCAGCTAAGCGCCCGTCACCGAACCCTCGTCCTCGTCAACAGAGCCGTGTTAGTGCTCCGAGCGACGCTGAAGCTACCCAACCCACGATGCGAACAAATACAAGATCGCAAGCGTCAAGTGAAGGGGCCAGTGCCAATGCACAGGCTGAGTCAGCCTCCCCTGCTACTGATGCTGCTCAGGATGCGGCTGGACCTGAGACCATGTCCATGCAGCAGCTGCTCGTATACATTACGCAGCAGCAACAGCAGTATCAAGCTCAGATGCAAACGCAAATGCAAGCCCAAATGCAACAAGCTAATGCGAGATTCGAATATCTCGTTGCCGCTAGGGGTGAGCAGAAGAAGAAGGACCCTCCGATGTATGAAGGAAAGTATGGTGAAGACAATGAATTGTGGATCTTTGCCACCGAGCAGTACTACGCAAGCAGACGTGAGTTAATGGCGGCAGAATCGTCAGGTTTCGTGACGATAATCTCCAGCAACTTAGGCAAGTCAGTGTTGAACTGGTATCGCGCTTTTATAGCCGAATGTGAGAGAGCGAGTGTGAACCCCACGTGGTCGTTGTTTAAGCAACAGCTGCGCACGCGCTTTCGACCAAAGGACTTCGAGTATGATCTTCGCGAGAGAATGTTTTGTCTCAAACAGACCGAGACTATTCACGAGTATGTCTCCAAGTTTCAAGACTTGCTGTCGCAGACAGAATTGACGATCAGTGAGTTGGAGAAACGATTCTTCTTTCAAAACGGGTTACGTGAAGAAACAGCAAAGAAGATCAAAGAAGAGAGTCCATCAACGCTACAAGAAGCCATTGAAATTGCTTCGAACTTCGAGTTTGCGCACTACTCCGGGAAACCTCCTCGGGCACCTTCGAAACCTTCAAAAGGGTCGTCAGACTAGGGGCATCATTTGCCTAAATCGAAACAGCAGAACAACAAGCGTTACGAAAAGAAAAAGGGCAAGAACGATGATTGGAAGAAGACAGCTACGTGCAGAAATTGTGACAAGATTGGTCACATTTCTCCAGATTGTACTCAGCCAAAACGTACGGAAGCAAACCGGTACATGCAGGGCGCAGTGTATGCGATCCTAGAGGCTGAAGCTCGAGCATTCAAGATGGTAGACCAAGGGAGGCCCGTCACGATATTCATTGACAACGGCAGTAGTCTGAACGGCGTAACGAAGGAGTTAGTGATGAAGCTTGAGTCGGATGTCACTAAAGGTGACATGATGCAAGTTGATCTCGGTTATGATCAGATTGTGCATCGTCCACGTCAGACTGTAGAGATGTCTCTACAGTTATCAGGATTTCCCTTGACAACGGGAACATTCCAAGTCATGCCTGTTCCTGAGGGAAAGGACATAGTTTTAGGCATGATGTGGCTGCGGGAGCAGAACCCTGACATCGACTGGAGTACTGGACAGATTGCACCTCGCATCAACGTGCAGAACACGCAGACTGTGAAGTTGAGACTGCCGAAGACACGTCCAGCCCGTT